AAAAAAAAAAAAAAAAAAAAAAAAGGCTAAGGTAATATATCAGAGAACTGGTTATATACCAGTGACTATAAATATATTGAGATTAACAACAAGCAGGTTTTCTCCCAGTTAAAGAGTAGTTAAATACAAATACAGAAAGATGAAAAATGTGAAATGGTGGGATATTTAGATGGTAACAAGAAGTACATCAAAAGAAGCAGGGAGGTGGGTCCAGTGGTAGAAGCATGGTAATACCAGAGCCTCAGGGGGCTAAAGCAGGAGGGTCATAAGTTTCAGGCCAAGATGGGCAACTTTGTGAGACCTTCTAAAACTAGAAAATAAAAAGGGGCTGTAATGTACCTCAGTGGTAGATCACCAATGGGTTCAATCTCCATTACTGGAGAAAACAAAGCACAACAATAACAGCTAAGAGATTATACACCTTTATTTTTCAATTCTGTCCACTCAGGATCCAAGAACATCATCTTGTTAGCAATAAACAATCTTGGTTTCTAAAATGCTAATCTCAGCTAAAAGGAACCATGTTCACTTAAGAATAGCTGATTCAAGGCTGCAAGGAAAGTGCAAGATGAAGCTAAATATTTCATGCCCAAGTTCCCTAACAATAATGGGATATATCAAAAAGTTATAGAAGACAACTCAATGGTCATCCTTAATGAATAAACCTGGGATATCTTGGTCATTAAGATAAATAATAGTAACTAAAGTCCACTGAACAAACTGGAAACCCAGGAGTCCATACCAATAAAAATAAAATGTAGGATTATCAGAAGGTTTATCTTACATTAGATGTCACCTACACTTGTACGATTCAATACATATAGAATGATTTATTATAGAGTAGAATGAAATAATTTAAAATAGGAATTAAGGCAAGAAGCATTAAGGGTTGATCAACTCATGAGTGAAAACTTCCTAAAGAATAGGATACTGCCTGGAGCAGTAGCATATGCCTGTAATTCCAGTCACTCAGGAGGCTAAGGCAGGAGGACTGCAAAATCAAGGCCGCATCAGCAATTTAGCAAGACCCTATCTCAACATAAGAAATAAAATAGGACTGGGGATGTAACTCAGAGATAAAATGCGCTGGATTCAATCCCTAGTAACAAATAAACAAACACCCCAGGATACTTATATAATCTCAAAGTGTCTGCCACAAAACATTTACTAGTAAGTATATAGTAATTAGCTTTACTGTGGAAATCTGTCACATTACCAACTTAACCAAAAAGTAAATGTTGTCTTCATCACTAATGGGACACATGAATTAAAAGACCCACAGCATTGTTGTTGTAATATTCCTATAAAAATAAATGAGAACTGAATCAAATCTTGAGGAAACATGACAAATTTAGATCAAGCTGCTTAAGTGCTCCGTTGTTTTGTTGTTGTTGTTGTTTGTTTGGGGGGTACCTTTTTGGTTTTGGGGAAGAGGGGGTTGAAACAAGGGGCACTTGACCACTGAGCCACATCCTCAGCCCTATTTTGTATTTTAGTTAGAGACAGGGTCTCACTGAGTTGCTTAGCACCTCACTTTTGCTGAGACTGACTTTGAACTCATGATCCTCCTGCCTCAGCCTCCTGAGCTGCTGGGATTATAAGAGTGTGCCACCATACCTGGCCCTTAAGTGCTCCATTTTAAGGGGCATGAAAGACAGGACAAGAAATGTTCCAAATTGGGCTGGAGTTGCCTAGCGTGTGTAAGGCACTGGGTTCAATTCTCAGTACTGCATATAAATAAATAAAATAAAGGTCCAGCCAAAAAAATAAAAGATGAATGAATTAAATTAAAATAAACAAATAAAAAGGTCCATCAACAACTAAAAAATATTTTTAAAAAAGTAATAAAATGTTCCAGTTTGTTCACTAATCTGACATACTTTCATAGAATGAATAAAATGTATATTGGCCAGGCACAGTGATGCATGCCTGTAATCCCAGTAGCTTGAGAGGCTGAAGCAGAAGAATCATGAATTCAAAGGCAGCCTCAGCAACACCCCATCTTTAAATAAAATATAAAAAGGGGGTGGGGATGTGGTTCAGTGGTTAAGTACCTCTGAGTTCAATATCTAGTCCAGAAGGAGGTGGATGGTTTATTGGGGGCAATGATAAGACAAATGAAATCAATTTATAATTGAGGAATCTGAGAAAAAGGATATGCAGTTTCTGTATGTAATTCTAGCAAAGTTTCTCTAAATTTAAAATAACTATAGGTCATCTAAAAAGTCCCCAAGAGATCCTGATGCACAGCCCTGGATGATAACTATATCCTTTATGCAAGTCTTTATTTCCTGTTTCTGCTCCTAGATTTCTGCTAGCAGATTTTGAAATCTTATTTTATAAATTTAAAAAGCAAAGGGATGATCTCTGGTTCTGTTCTAGACAGACATGGAATGATATAACCAGGAGAAATTTGTAATTGTGAATTTATAGATCATGGACACTTCCAATATTCAGATAAATCTAAATTTTCACAAGTATCAACATGGCTAAAATAATGTCAACATGGGGCTAATCATCTTGGTCCTACATAATTCCAATGACTTATGAAATGTTTTCTATATCATTACATTTTAGTAATGATACTAGAATCTTTTTAAGTTATGGTGTTCAAAAGTTTTATTTTTCTGACTTTGACATAATCAATTAGGTACTGCTCAGTACAAGAGATAGCTGAAATTTACTGCAAGCACATCTAAAACCTAATTTAGTTGAATTCAGGAAAGGATGTTGTGATATGTAACATGTTACTCAATCTTAATTTGGTAAAATCTGAAAAAACCAAAACATTCTAAAAGCATTCTATGTTTTAGAAATATTTATATTAAATAATTAATGAAAATAATGACAGATCTTAAAACAGAAAAATATAATAAAGCTCAACATCAACTGACATTTCTATTAACAGCAGGTAATCATCTCCTATATGGTAAGAAAATATAAACCTAGATGGGTATATTTTCTTATAACATTAATTAAGCCAGAAATAATGGTGCATGCCTGCAATTACAGCAACCCAGGAGGTTGAAGCAGGAGGATTCCAAGTTTGAGGCCAGCCTCAGTAATTTAGTGAGACTCTGTCTCAAAATTTAAAAATTACAAAGGGCTGGGAATGAGCTCAGTGGCAAAGCATCTCAGGATTTAATCTCCAGTGCCAAAAAAAGGACAACCTGTTTTAATTCTAACTGTCCAATTTTAACAAAAATGGTAAAATATTGCATTAAACGTGTAGATTTTTAATTTCTTATAAAACCACAACCAATTTAATAATTCTAACTTTAATACCAATTAAATGATTATTTTAAAATAAAGATTTTAAAAATCAGAACATTTAATAAAATAAAAAATTGAGGGGCTGAGGTTGTGGCTGAGTGGTAGGGCACTGGGTTCGATCCTTAGCACCACATAAAAATAAAGTCACTGTGTCCATCTATAACTAAAAATATACATATATTTAAAATAAATAAATAAATGAATAATGATAAAGTAAAGGGTAAAATCCTAATAGAGAAGTATTTGGTAGTTGATGAAATATTGCAACAAATAAACGTAATGAAGATACTTACATTTAACGTTGGGCTGATATTTAATATTATATGGTGAAAAATCGATGCAATCAACCATTACAGTAATAATATGAACAATCCTGTCCAAGTACAACAAATTCTAGGGAAGAAAAGTATCATGATTAGAAACTTCCAGCTACTAGCTATCCAACAATAATAAGCAGCGGCAGTAGCAAAGCATGACTTTCTCCCATATATACCATAATAATACACATTCCATAATTTTTTCCATATAAGGTAAAAGTATATGGTTATAAACATTTTCCGGTTACTGTTGTGTACCAAATACTATTATCAAGATTCAGGGAAAAAAAATCATCCATCTTTAAGATGCCCATTCAATACCTCATATGTTCAGAGTGGAAGCGCAAAGCTTAAAATGAGATTCTTGGGGGCCAGTGCTGAGGAAAGAACCCAAGACATCAGATACTAGGAAAGCGCTACACCACTGAGCTACATTCCTAGCCCCAGTAATTGCATTCTTTATCAAATTCTTCTTAAAAATTAAAAAAGGAATGATGTATTCATAAATCCCAATGGAAACAACAATCAAAGTTTTTAGATTTTTTTTGAAAAATGTTTTTAAGTTCCACCAATATTCTTTCTTTCTCTCCCAATCCAACTGAAATAAAAAAAGGTCGACAGACTCAAAAGATTACCAATTTATGGAGGTGAGGAGCAGCAGCAAACTAAAAGTAGAACAAAGAAAACCCATGGCTGATAAGCCAAAGAGAACACTTCAAAAATAACAACTTTCCAAATGGAACCTCAGAGTAACAGAAGTCACAGTGATATTTACAAAATAGTTAAATGGTTGATTAAAAGTTAAGTTTGCTGTACTTAGCTGGGTGCAGTAGCGCACGCATGTAATTCCATAGGTTCAGAAGGCTAAGGCAGGAGGATTTCAAGTTCAAAGTCAGCCTCAGCAAAAGCAAGGCTCTAAGCAACTCAGTGAGACCCTATCTCTAAATAAAATATTTAAAAAAGGGCTGAGGATGCAGCTCAGTGGTCGAGGGCTCTGGAGTTCAATCCCTGGTACCAAAAACAAACAAAACAAAAAATTGTACTGCATTTAGAGTTGTATAAAACAACTGGCCAGTGTTTCTTCTCTCCTTATCCTCCATTACCTTCCATTTATTCACTTAACTAGATTAACTGCCATATCTGCCCTAAAGACAGCCTCTGCCATAAAATGTAAGTACCAGAGGAAGAAAATAATGCCTGTGTTATATATGAAAATCGTACAGAAAGGTCAGTTCAAATGGGAGGCTACATACTAGAAGAAAAGATGCAAAGATGTTAAATTTAGGAGCTTCCTCCTTGCTCACAATTATAAAGCAGAAGATGACTATAACCACAATTTTACCATTAAAGCTAGAAAAACACTTCTCTCTTGTATTAGAAAATATATTCCTACTATCAACACCAAGCACCATGATAAAAATGTGCTAAATACAAACTGAACTTTAATCCACCAGGAATCAATGCAAGAAGCACAATATTCTCATGTTAAGAGGGAAATTATATTCATTTAAAACATTAAATGTAAATCAAAACACTTCAATACTCCTCTAAACATTTATATGGCAAAGGAATGGGAACAACTGGAAATATCAAGCTCCCAGAAGCAGTAACCAAAGCAAAAGAAAACAAAACACCCAAAACTATGTGGAAAAAGAAAAGAACATGGAAGACAAAGTCAAAAGGTCTAAAAACAGTCTAAAGTATATGGGGGCGGGGGGGGAAGCAGGGGCAGATACTACTCAAATAGAAAAACTGAAGGGCACCAGTAAAGCAAGGCATTATTTTCCTGACCTAAAGGCACATTTCTTTATATTGAAAAGGTTCACTAAATATTTAAAAACAGACAAGTAAAATTCCCAAACTTCAAAGACAACAGAACGATGCTAAACGTTACAGAGAACCCAAAAAATTACCTAATAAAAAGGTTAGTAGTAGACTATACATTTGTAATAATACAAGTTTACAATTCTGCAAGAACTTTACTTCACAACTATTTTCTAAGGATGGAATAATTAACATTGTTAAAATATCTATAGTACCCAAAGTGGTCTTCAGATTCAATGTAATCTACCTTAATATCCAATGGCATTATGTTTTCCTTTTGTGTGTTATTACTGAAAATTAAACTTAGGGGTGCTGTATCCCCAGCCCTTTCAATTTTTTATTTGGAAACCAAATCATACTAAGTTACTTAGGATTTTGGCAAGTTGCTGAGGGTAGCCTGAATCTTGCAATACTCCTTTGTCAGCCTCCCTAGTAGCTGTGATTACAGATGTGCACCTCTGGGCCTGACCCAATGGTATTTGGTTAAAACATTCAAAAGAACCTGAAGGGCCAAAGTAACCAATCTTGAAGAAAAATGCCACAAACAAGAAGCATCACACTTCCTGACTGAAAATGTATTGCTACAAAACTATGTAATCAAAAACAGTTTCGTATTAGCAATCAAACAGACATATAGACCAATGGAACAAAAAGACCAATAATAAATTCTCACATGGGTGGTCCTACAACAAGAGCGCTGACAATACACAAAGGGGAAAAGATGGTCTCTTCAATAAATTATGCAAGGAAAAACAAAAAAACACAGGAAGAATAAAATTGGATCCTTATCTCACACCATGTTCACTCAAAATGGAATAACTTACATACTAATACCTAACACATTAATACTAATAAAACAAAATGGGAAAGACTTCTTCACATTGGTCTTGCTAATGATTTCCTGCATAACATCAAAAGCACAGGTAAGAAAAGCAAACACAGACCAACAGGATTACCCCAAACTAAAAAGATTCTGCACAGCAAAAGAAGCAACAGCATGAAGGGACAATTTAAGGAAAAATGTTTTTGCAAACCATGTATCTGATAAGTGGTTGAATACCTAAATTACATAAGGAGCTCCAATAACCCAATATTAAGAAAACAAATAACCAAACTTTAAAATGAGCAGAAAACCTAGGAAAACATTCCTCAAGCTGTATGTGGTGATGCACACCTGTAATCCCAGTGATACCAAACCAACAAAAAAAACCCACTACATTTTTCAAAAGTAGTCACAGCCCAGCAAGGTGGTGATTACCTATAATTTCAGCAACTCAGGAGGCTGAGGCAAGAATATTTCAAGTTTGAGGTCCATCTGGGCAAATTTTTGAGACTATATAAAAATAAGAACTAAAAAAGAGTTGGGGTATGAGCTCAGCAGTAGAGCACCTGCCTACGTCAGCAAGGACCTGAGTTCAATACCCAATATGGGGGTGGGAGACAAAAGATAAATACAAACAACCAGCAGTTAAATATGTAAAGGCAATCAACATCAGTATCAGGGAATGCAAATCAAAGCCATGACATCACCTTATGTTTGTTAGGGTAGGTATTTTTAAAAAGAAAAAAAAAAATTCAAATCTCTATTAAAAAAAATCAAATCTCTAGTTTGAGTAGGAAGAGGAGGAACACTGTACACTGTGGGAATATAAAATGGTCCACTTACTAGAGACAATATATAACCTATAATATAACCTATAACAATATATAACCTATAATTAATTTGTAAGCCTGTGGCAGGACAACAGCTTGAGCCCAGGAGTTCCGTGCCAACCAGGGCAGTTTATGAGCCCTTCTCTAGATGTGAGGTAACTTTTGGAGGTAATGAATATTTATGATGCCGTGATGATGGTTGTTATTATGTATCAACAACTTTTTACATTTTCTTATCCAGTATCAGGGATTGAATATAGCATGTGGGATTACTTGCATGTGCCAGGACACTCAGTTGTACAACTTTTCATATGTAAAACATATCTCAATAAAGTGATATAATACAACTGTGATATATATATTTTTTTATCCCTAATTTTGCTAACCAACCAATTATTTACACAAAGACAGGAAGATAGTGGTCATGTATCTAAAAGTAGTTGACAATTATTCTGTTCCCTCAGAAATAAAATATAAAGTAAAACAAGGAGAAAAAAATGGAACACAAAAACAAAGCTAAGCAGCAAAACCAAGAAAACATTAAACAGGTTATGTGAGTAGCATCTTTAATTTGGGACGGGGAGAGATTTCTCAGGTCTTATGGAATCCTTCAGAATAATGTAGGTACTCTAACTAAAAATTTAAAAATTTCAACAAAACCTGAAATGTGGCAAGCCCCATAAGAATGTGTGGGATGAAATCCTACCAGGTTTTTATCTCCTGGGATAAACGTTATGGACTTCAAATGTGACAGAAAAAAAAATTAAAAGTAGTATCTCAAATAAGAAATTACTGGCAATAGTAATACATTTAATTTTGAAGATGAGAAAAGAGTGAAAGGGGACTTTTATATAGTCAGTTGTTTGGCTAAGGATGGTGGCCTATTAGTGATTCATAAAGTTGAAATAATAAGATCCCAACTTCAAGCTTGGCCTCAACCACTTAGGGAGACCTTCAGCAACTTAGTGAGACACTTTCTTAAAAATAAAAGGATATACTCAACGGTAAAGTCCCCTGGTTCAATTCCCAGTACCCTCTCCCCTGCACACACACACACAGACACAAAAGTCAGTCCTTTGTATCCATGGGTTTTGCACATACAGTTTCAACCAACAACATATCAAAGACACACTCATACCTTGCTTGATGGTTATAGGTAAATGACAGATCACTTAATTTGACAAAAATCCTATAAGATTACCAAAAGCTGAAAAATTCCTATCACCTCCTATTGACAATGCAGCAGTCAATAGTGTAACCCATTACATCCTCATGGTGATGTTGGTATAAAGAAACATACTGTGCTACCAGTAACACAAAAGTATAGCATATATATAGAGAGGACATAATACTTGATAACCATGTTTGCTAGCAGCTTATGTATTTGCTACACTACACATTTTATCATTAGAGTCTACTTCTATTTTCTACATGATTTGGCTTTAAGTTTGCTCTATTGATTTTCACATGATGAAACTGCCCTAAGGACACATTTCATAGAAGGTATCCCCTCATTAAATTAAGTACAACTATACTTCAGGTGGACAGGGAGTAAAAACTCAGTCTGTTTAAGACATTTTTCCTTGTTTTTATTCCCTAATACAGTATGACAACTATTTATATAGCATTAGGTATCATAAGTATTCTAGATGATTGTAAGAACATGGGAAAATGTGTATACATTATATGCAAATATTATTAAGTCACATTATATAAGGAACTTGAAGATCTGTAAGTTTTCGAATTATAAGCTGATCCTAAAACCAATCAATCTCAAAGACTAAGCAAAGACTACTTTGAACATTAAAAACTGCTGGACTTGGCTGCATATGCCTGTAATCCCAGTGACTCAGGAACCCAAGACAGGAGAAATCAAAGTTTGAGGCCAGCCTGGGCAACTTAACAAAACCCTCAACAGCTTAGCAAGATCCTGTCTTAAAATAAAATATTAAATGGACTGGGAATGTAGTGGTAAAGTGCCCATGGGTTCAACCATGAGCACACCCTTGCCCCCATCAAAAACAAACAAAAAACTAAAAACTTCCAGATTGACGTCATCTAACAGATATGAGAAAGTACACAGAACAGCCTACGCCTTGTATTGTTATTCTGAAATGCCACATGGAGGTACATAGTAAAATAGTAAAAGAGCTCTTAATGATCCTGGTACATGGACCCAAGAGGACCCTCCTTCCAAATAAAAAAACTGTTTCACAAAGCTGTACTTGTTTTCTGTATTAATTTGGTCTCTTATAAAACAGAAACATTAGTAAATGACAGTTCAAAAGTGTTACCTCCATTTACTTGAAAAGAATTTCCTTAAATACAAACAACTAAAATAACAGGCCAGTACCAAAACAAACTCACTGAAAGAGATTCATCTTCCAAACTGGACATTATCTTGGAAGAAAGTTCTTCACAGCACAAATTCTCTTCTGCTGTTGCCACCAATGCAGCACAGCGAGCAAATGCTCTATATAATTCTGACCAACTTCTAAGTAAAGTCTTCATGGTAGCCTAATAATAAAGAAATTTTATTAATATATACCTCTTTATCCAACAGCAAATAGAATCAATATATCTTTTAAGGTGTCATAGAAGAGTCTAGCATAGGTAATAACTTTTCCCCAATTCCCAAAAAGTTCTAACCATAGTATCAGCAATCAAAGACAAAAAAAACTTCTCTCTTCACCATTTTCCTTTCCCCTAAGCTAATAAAGTTGTATGAATCCTATCTTAGGCAAAATTACTGTTGAGGTTCATTATAAACGTTGAAAAGGCAATATTTTTTAGAAAAGCACAAATTCCTTACACATAAAAATATGACATGTCTTACCAGAGGAAATTTCTGTATTGAAAAAATATGGTTGATTGGCAAAGTAAGTGCACCATAGATGGCACTAAAATTATGTTCTAATGCATCACCTTGATTCACTTCATTGGTCTGAAAAAAGAAAAATGAAAAAGTTATCCTCATCTACCTAGTAACATTAAGTATTTCCAACAGGTATAAAACTGTGTCCCGTGCTAATAGCATTAAGGATTTTTTAAACTCCTTTCCCTTGGTAGCTATGAATATGACTTATCTGTCCATAAGATCTTTGCAGATATAATCAAGTTAAGACAAAGTCACGATGCATTAGAGTGATCCTGAATCCAATGAATGGTATCCTTATGAGAGGAAGAAATCTGGACACATTGATAACATGAGGGTGAATACCATGTGAAAAATCAAGGAAAAGACTGAAGCCATGTGGTAACAAATGAAAGAAGGTCAAAGACTACCAGCTATCAGAAGCTAAGAAAAATTGATCAGATTCTCCCTCAGAGCTCTAGAAAGAACCATATAACATTTTGAATTTTGGCTTTTACGACTATGAGAGTGGTAGAGTGCTAGGTGGGTCGTCTGCCCCATCTCTAGCACAAAAATAAATAAATGATCTGTGGGAAATGAAAGCACAGAGTTTAGATCCTAAAAAGAAACCCAGAAACAACTCCCTAAATCTGTTACTATACATATACAGCATTCAAGCAAGGACCTCTGCTATCCTTCAAACAGTAGGAAGCTATTTAGAAATATAAGCTATTATTATTCAGTAAGAATATGTTTAATAGTTTGCTAGTCTGAGTAAACTAGTATAATGTAAAAAATTACGTGGTATCATTTTGTGCTTAGCAATATTAGTCCAGAGAATCTGTCCATGAAAGTGAACTCGTGCTCCCTGTTCTGTCAATATCAACACCTTTTTAGTATTTAAGTATAAGAAATAGTGATCAACTCTAACTTAAGAGAATATATTTGGGGCTGGGGATGTGGCTCAAGCGGTAGCGCGCTTGCCTGGCATGCGTGCAGCCCGGGTTCGATCCTCAGCACCACATACCAACAAAGATGTTGTGTCTGCCGAAAACTAAAATAAATAAATAAATATTAAAAATTCTCTCTCTCTCTCTCTCTCTCTCTTTAAAAAAGAGAGAATATTAAATGGCTTTGAAGTAATATGGCTTCACCAGAATTTATAACATTCAAGACAATCATTATTACTACCTATTGGTGTAACTACTCAAAGGACCCAAAATATTTAAGAATCTGTATGTATTATATATATTTCTCATTATTGGAGAAAACAAAGCTCTTAGACCCCTATTAAGTAAGGTTAGCTTTCTTTGGTAAATAAGGCAGAAAAAAAAAAAAACCCACAATGAAATCAATCTAGTAGACAGAAAATTCACCAACAGCACACTCACACAAAATATTTAATATCTTCTATTCAAATTCAAAGTTCTAGCTGGGTGTGGTGGCCCATACCTGTAAACCCAACTAAGCAAGAGAACTGCAAACTCACGGCCAGCCTGGGCAACAACTCCAAAAGGCCATGGATGTACCCTGGTGGGAGAATGCTGCCCTGGCAATGACGAGACCCCAGATTCAATCCCAAGAACCTCCCTTCAACACACACTCACAGTCAAGCTTCTATTCATATCATAAAAAGAAAACAGTCTCTTAAATTTGAGTGGAAATATATAGCAAATTTACATCATACCTGATTAATCATTTCAGTTAATGGCGTGACTATAATACTCCACATTCTCCAGAGATGCTCCTTGTTTTCCAATTCCTTTGCATTTTGATTAATAACATTTAATACTGACTCACTAAAAGCTAATGGTGAAGTTGGACCAGAAAGCACATAACCTACAAGTGTTTCAAGATTGAGAAAAAACCTGAAGTAAAAAAAAGAATGTATTATTGAATACTTTTGCTGAAATACATTAACTGCACATAAACAAATTCTAAAAATAATTACAAAGAAAATAAAAAATAAATTTGAAGTCTTATTTATGAAAATTATTTAATAAAAGAATCTTATTCATCATATAATCTTTCCATAAGAAACCTCATAAAGTTTCCACCACTCTACCACTGAGCTCCATCCCCACCCTGTCTGTTTTTTATTTTGAGACATGGTCTCACTAAGTTGCCCAGTCTGGCCTCCAACTTGCAAACATCCTGACTAACTGGGATTACAGATGTGCATCATCATATCCAACTTCATATTGCTTATTTATATTTTTGCAAAGCTGGGAACTACGCCAAGAACCTTTTGCATTCTACATCATCATTCCACCACTAAGCTCTTTCCTCAGCCTACAGGTTATTTAAGGTACAAACTTACCTTTCATCTGCTACATATTCCAGGAGATTATTGTTGAAAATTAACTGAATTAAGAACAAAGCTGGAGTTCCCTGAAAAAAAGGAGAAAATGAAGTTAATCTTAATCAATTACAAAACATAGTATACTTGTTTGCTATAACCAGTTAAGAAATGATGATTGTCTTAGAATAAAAAAGTTAAATTTTATTTAGGTATCACAACAAATAAAACCCAGTATCTTTCTGTTCTAAATGAGAGCTATACCTTCTACAAGAGAAATAATGAACTGGTGAGATTCCAGACATTTAAAAAGCTAGAACTTACTAAATCCCCATCTACACTATGTAGGTAATGTCATGTCACAATATTAAGCCAATGTTCCTAAACATAGAAAATTTATAACAATATTGAGCTCTATTATGTATAAATGAATAGAAATCTTTCCTTCTGGGGTCAATTATTAAAGCCAGGAAAGTATTTTCACCTATTGATATATAAGCTATTTAATTCCTTAATGATTACCACTTGTTTGTTTTTAAGTCAGTCAGCATATTTCAAATCCAATACTCTCAGAATCTTAAAACCTAAGTATCACCTTTATATAAGAAAATATGGAAATATCATGGATTTTTTTTCTTTTTTTGGCCAATCTTTATCATAGCATTACATTTAAGATACTTGCATTAAGAATATCCATATTAGCAACCTGATATGCTGGTGAACCTAATACTTTCTGAGGAAGTCCTTGAATTGTAATTTCCATGAGGACCTAAGAAAGAGAAAAGATCACAGTAGTCAGCCATTAAAAACATCACCTTATGGGCTGGAGGTGTTAACTCAATGGTAGAGTGTTTGCCTGGTACATTTAAGGCTTTAGAATTAATCTCCAGTAATGCTTAAAAAAAAAAAAAGAAGTCTATTTACTTAGTAAAATACTATTCTTTTAACTGTACTTTTAATAATTCATTACAAGATATGTTCTTTCAATAATGTTGATTAATATATATTTCCATTAAGCTAAAAATTTATGAAAAGTGCAAAGTAAGTACTTTACAGATAATGCGTTCAATTTGGAGTATATTTTCATAGATCTTCTAAATGTCTGCATGTGTAGGTACACAGAAAGAAATAAACTCCTACACATATTTTGCTTTCTTTGTGGTGCTGGGAAATAAACCCAGGTTGAACTACTAAGCTAAACCCCAACTTCATATGAACACTACTATAAACCAATGAGGATATTTAATGATGTTTAACCATTTCACAATGTGAAATGTGTAAATCATTAATGTATTTCATTAATATATACTGATGCTGCTAAATGAATCAATGTCTATAATTTGTTTATTCATCCACTTTTCTAAAAATGAATGCTGAAGCTCTTATTTTGTACTGATAAAAGAAAATTTTGAAATGCATTTCATATTCAATGCCAAAAGCATACATTTCATAGGACTGTTAATTAGAAACTGGGTTTAAAATTGCTAACTCAAATATGAATAAACCCACCAAATTGCTCTCTTAAAAATCTTCCTACACTGCTATTAACATAGACGACATAACTTAAGTGTCACAGTAACATAACAAATAATTACAACAGAATTTTACATATTCTTCTTTGAAACACATTAAAAGCATTTATTCTGAGCCTTGACCCCTAGTGCTTTCCATGTATTAACTAATTTAATTACCTATCAACACTACACAGCCTCTCTATAAATCAATCAGTGGGACCAAAAGGGTAGATAAACTATGCAAATTTACTCTAAAACACAGTTGGGGGGTTGGGAGTATAGTTCACTTGTAGAGCTTCTGCCTAGCATATGCAAAGTCCTGGGTTCATTCCCTGGTACCACCATAATAAAATAAATAAAAAACAGTTGGTCGGAGGTTCAACCAAATCTGCTCTACAGTCCTTGCTATAAACCACAAGCTGTACTGCCATGGTATATTTACTTGTCACTGTATATAAAGAAAACATAACGAATTTAAACTAAGGTATCATTTTTTGGGTGGCTTACTATTATAAAATTTATATACAAGACAAACAGTCCCATATGCCTATAATACCAGCTCAGGAGGCTAAGGCAAGTTTGAGAAGAGTAAATTTGAAGGCAGTGTTTCTCAAAATAAGACCTGGATGTACTTGATGACAAGCATGCCCTGGGTTCAATTCCCAGTCTGTGATTAAAAACTTAACAAAAAATCCAGCAACTACATACTATTTACTTTCTCCTTTCCTTCACTACCGTATGTTTTTAAAATGTATTTAAGAGCTGGGGGTATGTCAGTGATAGAGTGCTTTCCTAGTTTAACAGGCTCTGGGCACAATCCCCAGAACTGTACCAAAAAAACCAAAAATGTATTTAATACCAATGTCGTTATCAGGGTTAAAGAGTTAACAGAAGGCTGAAGTAGGAGGATCAAAAGTTCTAAAACAACTTTGGCAACTGAGATGCTGTCTCAAATAAGCTAGGGATATAGCTCATTGGTAGACTGTTTCTGTCTGCTATTCTTGAACCCTGGGTTACAATCCTAGTACTAATCAATAATGTATTCACCAGCTAACCATTAGTGGTATTCAGCACTCCTGTTATTGTATTAGAAAACATTCAGTTTCTTCAGTTCAACTTTCATGCCCTTTACCTCATTTTCTCAGTATAGCACATTCTTTTTATTAATTTGAAGATGTTAGTGGCTAATATAGTCATCTACTTTATTATTTTTTAAATGATTAATATCAATAGAAGGGTATTTATTACAGAACAAAACTGCTGATGAATACTTGATTAAAAAGGTCTCTCCAGCAGCTGGGGTTGTGGCTCAGTGGTAGAGCACTTGCCTAACGTGTGAAGCACTGGGTTCGATTCTCAGCATCATATAAAAAAAATTAAATAAAGGGCCACCAACAACTAATTAAGCATTTAAAAAAAAAAAAAGTCTCTCTGGAGGGTTGGGCATATAGCTCAGTTAGTAGACTGCTTGCCTCACATGCACAAAGCCCTGGGTTCAATCCCCAGCACTGCCCCAAAAAATGTAACAAAGTCTCTGGAAATTTGTCCTATCCAAAAATTCATTTCAAATATGATTTATTCAAAGTTCAATTTACAGATATACTTACCAATGTTTTTGACACAGGATATACTTCTGACTTTACTATACTTTCCAAAGATTTTAGTAGGAGGGTCAGAACTTCAGACCCTGATCTTTCTTTTCTGTTACCTACCAAAAAAACAAAAGGAAGAGTATAGGTCTAAATACATATTTTAGAGATTAATATATGTGCATAGAAAGCTTTAAATGTTACTAAACAGTAATTTTTTTCCAAATCAGCAATAAATGCTCTAAGGTAAATTAATGAGGAAGCCAAGCACAGAAACACATCTGTAATCCTAACTACTTGGGACACAGAAGGATGGCATAATTCCCAGGCCAGTCTGAACGTTAGACCCTTTCTCAAAATAAAATGAGTTGGTTGGGACTATAGCTTGGTGCTAAAGTTGGGACTATAGCTTAGGTTCAATCCCCAGGCCTGCAAAAGAAGGGGTGGCGAGTGGCATGGAAAATGATACAATTTTCAAATTAATTTTATACATGAAAGACAAACAATTCACTGGATTCTAGAAAATCATTTCATTGAATCCTCTGCAATGAATCCCTTCTTCTCAAATAGAGACTCTACTGCACAATAGATCAAGTCCTGTTCTGCAGAGATTTATCCTGTTCCTAATAGAAGCAGGAAGGTAGAGTAAAACTCTAATAGATTCAAACAGTAAAGCTGGAGGAACAGCAAATGATGGCTTCAAGTTCCCTATAAGTTACAAGGCCAGAGGGGAGGAACTTATGAGACTCAGGAGAAAGAGTTTTTAGAATGAAAGGAAAACAAAACCCCCAAGTTAGAGGAAAAAGGAGAAGCCTCAGAGGGGGAGAAGGAAGAAACCTCAGAGGAAAAAAGAGAAAGAAGAGGACAATTCTCTATTATGTGAGGAACAAGACTAAACCTTTCAGGGTCTTACTATGGTAGATTCAAAGCATAGAGCTGAGGAAATAACTAGGGATGATGCGAAGGTTATTTTAATTTATTTGATAGTGGATTCTGAGTCAGAGGAAGAAGAAGGAAAGTCTCTGAAGTAAAAAAGGCAATGATTACCTCCCAGACAGAGAAAAAATGAGAGACCTTATGTGGATTTAAAGGAATTGCCTTTGGTTACTTGGTTTGGGACTCTATGAGAAGAAAAAGCAGCTGAAACCCCAGATGGTATACAAAACCCAGAAGGGAAAGAAATTAGCTAGGCTCAGAAGTCAAGGAAGTAGGATGGGCTGTCTGATCTCCCAACCTTGCCCACAAAAATCAGAGATAAGTTATAAATGAGCATAAAAACATTTGTGTATATACTTGAATGATCCATCAGGAATCACACCAAGGTTTTAAGGAAAATAGATATTATTCTTGAAGTAGAAGAGCTAACATCCAAAGAAACAGCACAAGGAACTAAAGAAATTTTTAGTAGAAGTATGATCAGTACCTTCAGAGAGATCCAAGGCTGGAAATAAAAAAACTTCCATGTAGGTGTCTTATAAACCAAAAACTCAACAAATGATCTTAGTAGTAGAATGGACATACTTGAAGAATGAATGAGCAATCTATGTAATCAACTAGAAGAATTCGCTAAGGATACAATACAGATGGCCAAGTAAATAATCAATAAAGACAGACTAAGACTAAATTCAGAAACGTCTTTTTAGAAACTCCAGAAAAAGATGGTAAAGAGAATGGTGCTGAGGAAACAATTAAGGAAATAACTGAAGAAAGCTTTCCAGAGCTAAGGAAGAATTTGTCTTAAGATAGTGAAAGCTTGCCAGGCGTGGTGGTGCATGCCTATAATCCCAAGAGCTTGAAGACAGGAGAATCTCTAGTTCAAAGTCAGCCTCAGCAACTGTGAGGTGCTAGGCAACTCAGTGAGACCCTGTCTCTAAATAAAATACAAAACAGGGCTGGGGATATGGCTCAGTAGTGGAGTACCCCTGAGTTCAATCCCTGAGAGGGAGGGAGGGAAGGAGGGAGGGAAGGGAGGGAGGGAGGAAAGAAGGAAGAAAGAACAGGTAGTGAAAGCTCACCAAATATATCAAGCAAGATTAATGAAAACAGACTTGCCCCTAGACATGTCTTGGCAAAGTTTTAAAATTCTAGTAATAAAAAGAAAATCATAAAGGCTTCTAGAGAGAAAATAGCCTACAGAGGAACAAGAATCAGACTGACAGAAGATTTATCGCTGGGCACCATGGATACTAGAAGTAAATGGAACAACACCATAAAAGTTCTTCAGGAAGAAAGTTTTCAACCTAGAATACTGTATACAGTCAAATTAGCATTTAATTTTGAGGGTAAAACAAAGATATTTTCTGATGTTAAACAATTTAGAAAATTAATTTTTGTGCCCTTTTTGAAAGAATTACCAGAGAATATATTTCAGCAATCTTGATGACTACAACCCATCTACAAAATGCATTCTTCACAACACACATCTAGAAAATCACAAGTAAAACATCACATCTCTACCAGAAGGATGGAAGCTAACAGCATATTTGGGGATGAAGGGATGTTAATTACCTAGATATTATTATAATTAAAGGATATATTTTAAAAATTTCATGTTAGCCATCCCGCCTTATATATGAGCAAACTTTACATATTACTAAGGGGGAGGAAGAAATCCTATCAATGTAACAGATGGGAAAAGGTGAGGAGAAGAATTAGAAAAACAAACGAGAAAGAAGACAATTTAATGTATGAATACCAAAAAAAAATGCAGAAGCTGAATGCATCAAGAGAAGTTTATAATTTTTAGCATTTATCGCAGTCAATCATTATATTAAAGCTTTTTGTTTTGGAGAAAAATATCATTTCATCAATGTAATAATGCTTACCTGATTCAGTAACTGATTTCACCAAGCTAATTAGCTCCTTCCAGACAGCACTGACAACTGCATCTGTCAAACAAAATACTTTTAATAGTATATATATGAATACAAAGTCTCTCCCTTTCTTCCATATAAAACAGAAGAAATAAATTGAGCAGTATTTACCAAGGTGATCATAATTCCCTTATAATATTCATTACAACAAATTTATAAAGCTATAACATTTTAAACATCAAGTCATACAAATAAGGGTAACTCTTATTTTCTGAATTCTCTGTAAGACTTATTAGTTATAAGAAAGGACAAAAAATGAATCCTAAGAATATTTGAAAACCAATAGAGAAAAAAAACAACACATAATTCATTCTTCAATCACCTAAATGGCAAAATATTCTTCTTTGTTTTATGGTAGTACCAGGGATTGAACCCAGGGTACTCTACCATTTAGATACATTCCCAGCTCCTTTTACTTTTTGAGACAGTCTTGGTAAGTGTCCTAGGCTGGCCTGGAATTTGCAGTCCTCCTGCCCCAGCTTCCATAGTAGCTAGAAAACTGGCACGCACCATTGTGCCTGTCCATACGTTCAATTTTTAAAATATTTTTAAAATGTTTTAAAACATTTAGACTATGGACCCAGGGGTTTAAATGCATTCATTTACATGTTAGAGCCACAGAGCCTAGGCATAAATCATAGCCCTATTATCTGCTATGGACTTTATCCAAGTTACTGACATTATCTGAACAGCTCAGTTTCCTCATTTGTAAAATGGCTGCTTTCAAGATTAAATCAATTAAGTATCCGTGCCCAATCTGACTAATAAGAGGTACCACATAGAATATTTACCATTCTACCTTCTTTTATTTTTCTTGGTACTGAGGATTGGACCTAGGGGCATTTTACCACTAAGTTATATCCCTAACCTTTCTCTTTTTAAATTGGAAGACCGGGTCTCAAAGTCCAGGTTGGCCTTGAACTTCTGATTGTGTTGCCTCAGCCTCCCAAGCTGCTTATAATTACAAGCAAGAACCGCTGTTCCTGGCTCTATTTTACTTTCTTTTAAAACATAGTTTTGAATAATAAAAAATTTTTTCTTAAATATTTACCAGAAGCATCCTTTCCAACTGCAAGAAAGCTATCATGTACAGCAGTAATAAGTGTATGTGCGTGCTTGGAAAAAAATGAAGGGCTGCTGATTAATGGATGTTCAAGTGGCTCTAAAACAAGAAGAACAAAAAGATAATTATATAAAACGAAAGATATGACAGCATTCTCAATACAAAATTTTAGATGGTCTGAATGGATGTGATTTTTACTAAAACACTTTGCACTTATTTCACAATTACATTATGCTATGGAGAAAAATAAGACCTTTCTTTACCAATACAGCAAGTCCTGGATTGTTTTAATAAATAATTTTAAAAATAATTAAATACCTAAGCTCAACACAAGTTTGTGCTGCTTAGCAAAACTCAATACTTCTGGACCCATCAAAAAATGAAGCAACATTTCAAGTCCCAAAAGTTGAATGGAAGGGATTGTGGCCATTCCACCTAAATTTGAACTCGTGTTCATGCGTGGAGTTCCAGGAACTCCATAGGGGGAAGCACCTTAAAAAAGAGAGAGAGAAAAAAGTCCATTTATATAAGGTTATTTTACATTAGCTACCAAAATGCATGTACTTTATATCATTACAATGTAATTTTCAAAACAAATACAACTTAAAATTTCAGGCAGTAATCCACACCTTATAATTATGCATATATAGGTCTTTCTGGTACTTAAATATGAAAAACACTCAATGCCTAACAAAATAGTAATAGCAATTAACTGTTTATGTTGTACACTAAGCCACATTTCTTTTATCTGCAAAAATCTGTTGTTTTTAATCAAAGCTCCGAGATTTTGCTATGGAAAAAAACGTGGAATTTTATGTTACTTTCTATTAGCTATCCTGAGTTGTAGGTAAAGCACATTCATCTTTCCCCCACAACTCTGCAACTTAACACAGTAATCAGTAACAAAGAAAAACAAAATGTCTTTTTTAATAACAGATCAAAAAATGATAAAATACTTCACTTCATATGAAAGATACTAAGTAAAAAAGCCTTCAAAATCTTTTCAAAAAGAGAAAAAAGGAAGTCTATTCCTTACCTTTGTGTACAGGAGTCATAGGACTTAAACCTGGAGAAGTAGCTATACGAGATGAATTGCCTTGAGGTAAGACACAAGAATCAGTGCTAATTGTACTCTGAATCAGAGGAACACAAACCTATTGGGTGAAAGGATAAATACATATCTTTAAACCGAGTGTCTTTTTTTCAATATTTATTTTTTAGTTGTACCTGGACATAATACCTTTATTTTATTTATTTATTTTTATATGGTGCTGAGGATCGAACCCAGGGCCTCGCAAGTGCTAGGTGAGCACTCCACCACTTAGCCACAACCCCAGCCCTTGAGTGTCATATTTTTAAAAGCCTTACATAAATTTCTATTTAGAGCAATTTTAATTCTTTTGATATGGACACTGAGCACCCTAATTCAAAACTTTTAAAAGCTCCATCCAAAAGCCAGAACTCTGAGCCCCAGGATACCAATGTTGGAAAATTTCCTACCAAACTAGTCTCAGTGGTGAGCCAGTCAAAACACCAGAACACTAAAAATAGTGTAAAACTATCTTCAAGCTATACCATGTAACATAAAAGAAATAAATTTCATGTTCAGACTTGAGTCCTACCCTCAGAGATCTCATTCTGTATATAAAAATAATTCAAAATCTGAAATATTCTTCCTTTTTGATCCTACGCATTTCAAATAAGGGAAACTCAAGCTGTATTGAATTGTATTGATGGTTTTCTTACACAGACTTAAAACCAGAATTGAAGAAAATAAGATCTTTCTAAACTTGTATTTGCCCTAAATGTGTATTATCTATATATTTCAGTTTTACATTTGAGACAGAAATTTACACATATAAATTTATACATTGGACCCAGGGGCACTTTACCACTAAGCTATTTAATATAAATATAAATAACTACATATAAATAAGCTACATAGAAATAACTTCCTTCCCCCATGTACTGGGGATTAAACCTAAGGCTTCACACATGGTAGGAAAGCACTTGAACACTGTGCTACATCCGCAGACCTTTCTATTTTTTATTATGAGACATGAACTAATTAAATTGTCCAAGCTGGCATCAAACTTGCAAGCCTCCTGCCTCAGTCTCCTGAGTAGCTACGATATAGATATGTAACACCATACCGGTCTACAATTACTCCTTTTTATTTTTTAAATAAATCGAGAAAACAAGGATAGAAATATTTTTTTTTTAAATTTAGGCCAGACATGGTGGCTTAAGACTGAAATCCCAGCTGCCTGGAAGGCCAAAAGGCAGGAGGACTCCAAGTTCAAAGTCAGCTTGGACAATTTAGCAAGACACTGCCTCAAATAAATAAACATAGAGAAATTAAAAAAAAAAAAAAAAGGCTAGGGATGTAGCTCAGTGGTAGAGGACCCCTGGGTTCAACCTCACCATAGAGGGTGGGAGAATATAGACAACATTAAATTTACTATCTAAATGTTAGGAGAGATATTAAAATACAAAGCGATTTGTAGTATCTTTTTTTTTTTATTTTTGGTACTGGAGATTGAACTCAGGTACACTCAACCACTGAGCCACAGCCCTATTTTGTATTTTTTTTTTCAGAGAGGGAAGGGAGAGAGAGAATTTTTTAATATTTATTTTTCAGTTTTCGGCAGACACAACATCTTTGTTTGCATATGTGGTGCTAAGGATTGAACCCGGGCCGCATGCATGCCAGGCGAGCATGCTACCGCTTGAGCCACATCCCCAGCCCCCTACTTTGTATTTTTATTTAGAGACAGGGTCTCACTGAGTTGCTAAGCACCTCACTGTTGCTGAGGCTGGCTTTGAACTCTCAATCCTGAGGATGCTCCCAAGCTGCTGGGATCACAGGCATGCACCACCATGCCAAGCTTGAAATATCATTTTAAAAACTTATCATCAGGGCTGGTGTTGTGGCTCAGTGGTAGAGCACTTGCCTAGCCTGCGTAAAGCACTGGGTTCCATTCTCAGCATCACATATAAATAAATGAATAAAATAAAGGTCCATCAATATCTAAAAAGTATATTGAAAAAAAAGGATTTTATATTTAAAAAAGCCCTATAACCAAATTAAATAAGTGATTATAACTATGTAGCCTAGACAAAGGATAACTAAAAACAAATAACTGAGCCAACTTTTTATCTACCCAGTATAGCACTTGACTAACATTTCACTGATGTCAAAAATCCTCTTGGGGGGCTGCAGGTGAGATCCATCTTAAAATCAATACTTCTAGAATAAGAAGAGATATTGTGTTTGCTGACTAACAAGTCTTACAGGGCTCCATTTCAGGCCATTGGAGAACACCCTTTGGAGAAAATGACCATAAAGTTCTGAGCTAAGGGGGGGAAAATATATTAGTCTACCAATATATAGCAAAAACAACACAAAAAGATTAGACTGGAAAGACCTGAAGAACACATTAATTTAAAAAAAAAAAAAAAAACAGTGGCATTTAACACGTGTAATATTACCTGTTCAAAATTTGCAGGGAGATGAGGTCCAAGTCTCATCAGTAAATACCACCAGACTTCTAGCTTTGTTAATGCTAGAGTTTCTGTTCTCACATGGATGGAACTCAAAGGCTGCATTAACAACTTGAGTCTTTTTGCACTACACAGAATATCTTAAAAGAAAATAAGCACAGAGGTGAATATTAAACTTCAATAATAAAGTATGTAAGTCTCTTTTTTCCACAGCAAGACATCATGTTTAAAAAATAAAATCAGATTTTCTTGCTGTATCCAAAATTTGTACTCCTATAAAACTCAGTAAGCTGGACTAAAACCAATTAATATGAACAAGCAATGTCTATTAGATACTGTGTGTTGGATGATTTTCCCAATAATGTCTACAGTATTTTTGGTTATCACAACTGGAGGGATGTTATTAGTATCGAGTGGGCTGAAATCTAGGATGTTGCCAAACTTCCTAAAACACAGCAGACACCCCCAGCAACATATGACCCTATGCAAAATGCCAAATTGAAAAGCAGTCCTATGTTAGCATTACATCCATTTAACAAAGAAATAGAGGCATTTTTTACATTATGTTAAAACAGGATATCATTCTTTTAATCAAGCAATAACTATTATAAACATTGTTGGCAACCCTATGTGATGGTGCACGCCTATAAAATCCCAGTGAATACGGAGGTTCAGCCAGGAGTTCAAGGCTACTCTGAGCAACTTAGACTGTGGCTCAAAAATTGAAAAAAAGGAAAAGAAAAAAGTACTGAGGATATAAGGCTCCCCTGAGCTGAATCCCCAGTACTCCCCGCCACACACACACATATACAAAAAAAAAAAAACAAAAAACACATTGCTAGGGCCACTGATTATGTTTTAGAAACCTAAACAGAATTAGATTCAGATCTACCTTACCTTAACAACAATCAGATTGTTAAAATTCAGCATACAAGTGAATTCTGGTTGTTTAAATAGAAATATATATGTAAGTTGGACCAGGGATATATAAATTAAAACATTTAAGTAATATGTGCTCAAGTACCTTGTTAAAAGGTCATGTATTTGGTGGAATAGTTTTCATCAATGTTTCTTAAAACTGCTCTGTCATATAGACATTTCAACTAACACTTCTACAAGAAAATGAAGTTAATCACCTATAATCCCAGCAACTCACAATAAGGTAGGGGATCACAATTCTGAGGTCAGCCTGTAAAATTTAGTGAGACCATCACAAAATAATAAATTAAAAGGCTGGGGATATAACTTAGTGATAGAGTACCCCTGAGTTAAATCCCTAACATGAGGGCAAATAAAGAAAATCAACTCTAATCTCTGCAGAACACAAGTTCTCCAGTCCAGGACACTTTCCTTTCTGAATCCTTTTGTCCATGAAAAGGGCTCCAAGTATAATTCCAAAAGATTTTAATCCCCCCAAACTGCCTCATACTGCTGGGTACATAACTAGCTATACCTAAATAATCGTCAGTTAATAAAGTAGGCAAGATTTCATTTTTAATATTAAAAAAAAAAGTGCCACAAAATATACTTTGATCCTTTTTTCACTGGGGATGGAACAAATCCAGGCATAACACATGCTAGGCAAGCACTCTATACTAAGCTACATTACTGGCACTTTTTGTTGTTATTTTGAGATAGGGTCTTACTAAATTGCCTAAGCTGGCCTCCACCTGCAATCCTCTTGTCTCAGGATTAAAAAAAAAAAAAATTCAATGTTTTAAATAAATATAACTAGTAATACAAATAATCACCTTATGAAATATAGAAATATGGGAAGAAAAGGATTAGTTGGCTCTGACAGGGAAAATCAGGATAAAAATAACATTACCTAGTAGATCTTATAAACATAGTACTAATTAAATCTAAGATTAAATGTCACCTACTTAAGTACTCATTCGGACCCACTTTTGGGACAAATACTCTTCCTCATAAACATACATCAGGATTGAAGGTGTAGCTCAGTGGCAAAGTACTTGCCTAGCATGTGACTGGGTTTGATCCTCAGCACCACATAAAAATAAATAAAGATATAAAAAGTATTTCAAAAAATACATCAAACAACTCCATTGCACAATAAGGTTATAAGTTCACAGAAATCAGTTTCATATATTAATGCTAACCCACTATTTGGGACTTGTGTAGAAATGATAGAAAAAAGCTTAGTAACTGGTATTTCACGGCTATCATCGCTTCCTATTCCCTTATGATAAAGTCAATAAATACCTAAGTTTTGACATACTAATAAGCAAAACTTGTTTAATCTTGCTTAAAAGTAATTCAATGAAAAATAAAAATTTTTATTATTTTAGACCTGCAAACTGAACCCAGGGCACTTTACCACAGCTACATGCCCAGTCCCCCCCCCCTTTTTTTTTTGGTACTGGGGGTTGAACTCAGGGGCACTTGACCACTGAGCCACATCCGCAGCCCTATTTTGTATTTCATTTAGAGACAGGGTCTCACTGAGTTGCTTAGCGCCTCGCTTTTGCTGAGGCTGGCTTTGAACTCAAGATCCTCCTGTTTCAGCCTCCAGAGCCACTAGGATTATAGGCATGCATTACTATGTCCAGCACCACTCCCATTTGAAACAGGTTCTCCCTACATTGCTGAGGGCTTCCCTAATTATAGAAGCTGGCCTTGAACTTGTGCCTCAGCCCCCAGGGTTGCTGGGACTATAGGTGTGTGCCACAATGCCCAGTAGAAAAATCAAAAACTTTGAGTACCTGGATTTAAGGCAAAATTATCTATTAAGCTCTTCCATGCAATAAAAGCTATTTTTTTAATCATGGGTGTTCCGCTACGAAATCCCAGTTCCTCCAAATGTAACAAAGAATTGATGAAACTTCCACTTCGATGCAAAGTCTAAAAAAAAAAAAAGAAACATTAAAAACTTGTTTATCTGAATGAAACAAAATTATTATGGGTACTGTTTTCATTCATTTATTCATTCAACTTAATATATGTCCTTAGGAAACAAAATACATTACCTTCAAAACATCAAATAGATGTCAACTCTTAGGAATTTGAGTTCACAGAAAATATTGAACAGTGAGTATGCTTTCAAAATTTAAGATTACAAAAAAAATACAAAATTCAAATAAAGTAGATAACACATAATACAGAATACTTCCACTACAGAGAAAATTAGGAAGGTAGATAAATTCCAAATTTTATCAATGCAATACAATATCAAAGAAAATAGGTACAGGTTGAGTACCCCATAATGGAAATGCTTGGGACCAGGAGTATTTCAGATTTTAGAAGATTTACATATACATCAAAAGATTATCTTGGGGGGCTGGGGATGTGGCTCAAGCGGTAGCGTGCTCGCCTGGCATGCGTGCGGCCCGGGTTGGATCCTCAGCACCACATACAAACAAAGATGTTGTGCCTGCTGATAACTAAAAAATAAATATTAAAAAATTCTCTCTTTAAAAAAAAAAAAAAAAGATTATCTTGGGAACAGAACACAAAATTCATTTGTCCCATACACACATAGTCTAAAGTAATTTTATTCAATATTTTTAGTGCACCGATGTTCTGACAGAGAATTGTTACATGAGGTCAGAAATTTTCCACTAGTTGTGCCAAGTGAGGACATAAAAGTTTTCCAATTATGGAATAATTCAGATTAGGGATGGTCAACCCTGGATTCTCCTGCCTCAGCCTCCAGAGCTGTTGGGATTATATGTATGCGCCATGGCACTTGGCAAGAAGTAATTCTTAAAAGAAGATGCTGGGCATGGTGGTGCACACCTGTAATCAACAACTGAGGAAGCTATGGAGAATAAGTTCAAAGCCAGCTTCACCAACTTAGTAAGACTCTCAGCAACTTAGTGAAAATCTATCTTAAAAAATAAAGACGACTGGGAATATAGCTTAGAGGTAAATTGCCCCTGGGTTTAATCCCCAGTACATGCTTGCAAAAGAAGAAAACATAAGATATGACATTGGACTTAACAGTAACTTCATGAATATGGCTTTGAAAACAAAAGATGATAAAAAACTTCATCAAACTTAAATGTTGGGTAAAGGTGGGATGGGGGGAAAAGCTCAATGGTACAGTGTGCACTTAGCAGGTAATGATATCCTGGGTTCAATCACAGCACTACACACACACTTGTCCAAAAGACATTATCAAAAAGATGTTAGGTTTGGTGGTACACCCCTATATTTCCAGCAACCCTGTAGGCTAAGGCAGGAAGATCACATGTTTGAGGCCAGCCTCAGCAACTTGGCAAGATCCTGTCTCAAAATAAAATGTGGTGGGAATATGGCTCCGTGGTAAGCACCTGAGTTCAATTCCAGATACTCCACTTTCCTCGCCCCCAAAAAAGCATAAAGAAAACCTCTATAATGGAAGAAAATACTTGGCAAATCAGATTAACACTGAGAATATATTAAGAACAAAAAGACAATCCAATCCAACTCAAAAATGGGCATAGGACTTGAATGGGCAATTCTTCATATACAAAAGACAAAAATAAATAAAATAAATAAAACCCACATACAGATCAAAAATAGAAATACAAACCAAAACTATAGTGAGATACCACCTCATATCCATGTGCATGACCAGTATGACACAAAAAAAGGAAAGTGCTGGAGAAGATGGTATGTACCTAAAATCCTAGAGCATCCGTCCTTCTGGTCATGATGTAAAATAATACACCTGCTGTAGAAAAGCTTGGCAGTTTTTAAAAAATTTCAGCATAGAACTTCCACATGAACCAGTAATTCTACTCTTTTAAAATTCAAGAACTTGGTCACCAATAGATATTTTCTACAATCGTGTTTACAACAACATTGTTCATTATAGACAAAAGGGAGAAAAACTCCAAATGTCCACCCACATGAGCAGACAGATTCTGTTGTTATGTATTTAACAAAATGTGGTAAATACATGACAACAGAATATTATTCTGCCCTAAGAACAAATGACATTTTCAAATATGCTGCAACGTGAATGGATCCTACAAACATTATACCTCGTAAAATAAGGCAGGCACAGAAGAGCAAATGTATGGTTCTACATATATGAGGTACCCAGAATAGCAAATTCATAGAAAGTAGAATAGAGGTTACCAGGTAGAGAGGTGGCAGTTATTGCTTAATGGGTAGTTTTTATTGTGGATGAAGAAAAAATTTTGGGTATAGTTGTTGATGCTTATGCAACACTATATTTGTATACTTACAAACACTTAAAATAACTGTGTATTAACACAATAAAAAAGGCAACCCTGCCCAAAGAATTGGCTTTAATTAACACTTGATTTTCATTATTCACAGTATTCATATTGTATAGTCACTTTGAACACAGAAAAAAAAAATGGGCTGGGGATGTAGTTCAATGATTCAGCATTTGTCTGACATTCATGAGACCCTGGGTTCCATTCCCAGTACCATTAAAAAAAAAAAAAGAAATAGAAAAAATCAGCCATCACTATTAAAAGAAAATACAGAATTGGGTTTCTCTAAGCAAATTCTCTGGTCTCAGAACTTGCATCAACTGTTTAATATATAATCTTGTTTTATGTATTTCTTCATGTAAAGGTACCTTACTCAATATATACTAATTCCCTTACTTAATATCTATTATTGATTTCCTAGCATTGAAATGAAAGCCAATAGCATTGTAACTTATGTTAGAATAAAGCTTATTTAACACATGAGGATTTCTTCATCACAGCCTTCTTGTGCTTAGGAACACTCAAAAAAAAAAAAAAAAAAAAAAGCACAAAAGTTCATGCTTAGGAACACTAAAATATATATAAAGGGTTAGGGATGTGCTTCAGAAGTAAAGCATCCCTAGATTCAATCCCTACCCGGGGAACTGGGGGAAAGACAGGGTATAACCTTGTTGAACTTTGGCTGAGAACATGCACATTGGGTGACTCAAATTCTTTCCCATTCTACATGTTTACAAATTATGAGAAAGCTACAAAAGTACTGATTTGGAGTTTACCTACAAGTTCTAGTGAGCGGGCAAATTTGCAAATAAGGAAAACAAACTCTGAGGATGGACTGAACTAAGGAAAGTTTAAATGAAAAGGTCTGGCATATAAAAATTGTGAACTGTTCACCTAACTCTGACACTTACCTTTCCAAGAAGTTTGACAAACAAAGGCCATAATTTTAACACGTAGGTCTCATTTTTACTCATAAATAGCTTTTGGAGTTCTGAAATTAATTTCTGTAAGTAAAAGCGAAATATTTACCAAATAGTCTCTTCAAAAGGAAAAAATAATCCAATATCAAAGCCTAGAAATAATTTCTAATACTTGATTATCAGCCAAATAATCTTTGCCACAATAAAGTACCCTTACTACCTCCCCCGCCAAAAAAAAAACCCAAAAGGAAAAATTTAGAAAATATACCAAACCCAAAAATGTTTTACCATAAATATCTAAATGCCAAAATCTAAATTCTAGCATTAACATTTACTTAGCTATGCTTGTCTATCACACATCAGGCCTTCTCACCATTCATCAATCACACTTAATTTCCACCAATATACTGGTAGAAAAACTTTCTCCTAAAAACTTCAGCCTGCACATCATTAGAATTCAAATGATAGTGTATTAGTTTTCTCACACTAGAAACTTAAAAAAGCAAAAAAACTTTCACAGTATCATAAACAATATGAGAAAATCTTTTTTTTAGTATTTATTTTTTAGTTTTTGGTGGACACAACATCTTTATTCTATTTTTATGTGGTGCTGAGGATCAAACCTAGCGCCCCACGCATGCCAGGCGAGCCCATTACCGCTTGAGCCACATCCCCAGCCCATGAGAAAATCTTACTTCAAATTTATTTATAAAGCTGTACATAGGGTACTGAAGATGAATAAATTTATGAGAACAAAACAATTTTGTTTTTTGATACCAGGGCTGCTTAGCCACTGAACCATAACCCCAGGGACCCCCACTTTTTTTTTTTTTTTTTGAGACAGGGTCTCCCTGACTTGCTAAGTGCCTCGCTACGTTGCTAAAGCTGGCTTTGAACTTGCGATCTTCCTGAGCTGCTAGGATTACAGGCATGCACCACTGTGCCTGACAAAACAATTCTTAAAGATACTACTTTATTATACTTTAATCTTCCTGCTCCTGCTCTATCATCCCCCAAGCCTGTTCTCAACAGACAGAATAATCACTTTAAAATTCAAATCAGTATATAATACTTGGAAGCTCAAAACATTCAAATATGACTTTCCTTATAATCCAGAGTAAAAATTGCATCTTTACTATGGTCCCAAAGACCTGTGTGATTAGGTCCTCTGTTTCTCTAACAATATCTTCCACTCTTCTCAACCTCATAACTCTCACTTCTGTCATACTGCCAAGTGTTCACTGAACACCAAGTTGGTACACAATGTAAGAGCAGAATGGGATCCTCCCCTTTCTTTTGCCAGACAAGGGACTGAATCCAGGGACATTCTTAACAGTTACATCCCTAGGCCCCTTAAACAAACAAACAAAAAAAAATTATAAATATAAACTTGTTTTGAGACAGGGTCTTCTTAAGTTGCCTAGACAGGCCTCAAACTTGGAATCCTCCTGCCTCAACTTCTCCAGTAGCTTTGATTATAGATGTGTACCACCATTCCCTGCAACAAGAATGGCCCTTCTGCACTCATGGTTTTCTTGCTCACAACGAGCTTACCCTATATTATCCACATGGCTAACTCCTATACTGTCTTCAAATCACAGTTCCAATGTCCTAATTTTTACCTTCCCTGACCACCTCACCATTTCTCTTTGATGGCAAACTTCAGCCTGTCCCTGTTATTCTATCCTCCATAGTGCTCTTCACTTAATACTTTATGTGCCTCCCTCATTTCTCATTAGAAAACAAGTTCTATAAGCCTTTTATTTACAACTATAGTCAACAGTAATGCACTGCATATAGATGCTAAAAGATGTTTACAAGAACAAATGTTGGTAAGCCTAAGACTTGAGGAAAGTAATAACCAGCTAGGAAATTATATGGACTAGATGAGCTTACATGCATGAAAATTCATAACTACTGGAATTATATAATAACTCAAAAATAACACTGAATTGGGTACTGCTCTCCCTTATTTAGAAATATAATCCCTTTTGGGGGGGGGAGGCTGGGGTTTTGGCTTAGCGACATTGTGGCTTAGCCATAGAGCACTCACTTAGCATGCATCACATAAAAATAAATAAATTAAATAAAGGTATTGTGTCCAACTACAACTGGAAAATAGATATTAAAAAAAGTAAAGAAATATAATCCTTTATGTACAGCCTTATCACCCTGAAAGTGCCTGGATGTCTGATCTCAGAAACCAAGCAGGGGTCTGGTTAGAGGATGGGAGAAATGCAATCCCTTTCTATTCAACATTCATTGAGGATGGGATAAAATATCTACAGTGTATTAAAAATGAATAGACAGTTCATTTCTGTACTGTTATGTATAATTGGTCTACACTAACTTAAGCAACTCTTTGTTTTAATTCAAAGCTAAACTCCTAGATCACAGTGCAATTAAACCAATGAGCCTAAACTGAATTTCAAGCTTAGCAAAGAAACTTTTAATACAGTATTTAGAAAATTCTTAAGTAACTTAATGCTTACAGTAGTCATAAGCTGCTCTGTAATAGATGCTATTTCTTGTTGTTTCTGAAGCAACAATGGCATTCCCATCTCCAGAGCAGTGGCTCCCCTCAAATGAACCTTTTGTGCTGAATGAGCCACTAAAGGTATGACCAATTTTGCCCACCTCACTGACTCTTCTCCCATTTGAACTGGAGCTTGTTCAATTAGCCTATAAAGGAGAAATCAATAAGTTAGCTTGAACTCACTTTTTTAGTCTAATCTAGCAGGAAAAATAAACAGCATAATTTAGAATGCATACATACATTCACCTAGAAAAATACTGTATCACAGATTTTCTGCCACCAATTTTTTTTCTTTTTTGGAAAAAATTGAGGTACAACCAATATATGAAGTTTTTTTGTTTTTATTTTTGTTTTTTTAAGGGAAAAAAAAAGTAAGTTATCACTTAAAAGTCTTATTATAGGCTAGGGATATAGCTCAGATGGTAGAGTACTTGCTTTACATGCACAAATCCCTGGGTTTGACCCCCAGAGCGCGCGCGCGTGCACACACACACACTCACACACACAAAAACATTTATTACTGAACTCAGTCTTTGGTGCAAGATTAGAATTCATAAAATATTCATGAATATACACTAGTGTTTACTAATGAAGTAGCAACAACTATGTGGTAAAATAAAGATCAAATTTTTCTTGTTAATTTGTATACTGCTTTACTTTTTATGTAAAAATTCTGTTTTTGTGGCAGGATTTAACCCAGGGCCTCCTACGTCCTAAACAAGCACTCTACCATAAAGCTCCATCCCTGGAGTTGTTATTGTTGTTTCTTAATATTTTTAGTTGTAGATGGACATGATAACTTTTATTGTGTGGGTGTGTGTGTGTTGCTGAGAATTGAATCCAGTGCCTCACACATGCTAAGCAAGCACTCTACAACTAAGCCACAACCTCATCCCTGTACTGTTTTTAAAAGGGAGCCAAGGAACCAGACTATAATATGATCATCAACCACAGGACCAGAAGGTGAAATTAAAACAAACAGCTCAAAAACTAAAGAAAACAAAGAATGAAAAACAAGAGGGCTGGGGATGTGGCTCAAGCGGTAGCGCGCTCGCCTGGCATGCGTGCAGCCTGGGTTTGATCCTTAGGACCACATACCAACAAAGATGTTATGTCCACCGAGAACTAAAAAATAAATATTAAAAAAAATTCTCTCTCTCCTCTCTCACTCTCTTTAAAAAAAATTAAAAAAAAAAAAAAAAAAACAAGTCAAGAGTTTGTGCCACATGTCTGTTAAAGAGTAGGGCTGGGGGCTGGGGATATAGCCCAGTTGGTAGAGTGCTTGCCTTGCATGCGTAAGGCCTGAGTTCCTTACCACTAAAAAAAAAAAAAAAAAAAAAAAGACTAGGGAAGGCCAAGTAGAAGGGACTTTCCTGCTCCATGCTAGACAACATGACTGCATTCATTCATAAATACCCTTTTCCAGACCACTTACAGGTTGTATTATTTTTTAAACCCTTTAAGAGACTTTAAAAACTTTTAAAAACTTTAAAATTCTTAAAAACTATCATGAACAAGACTTCACTTTTAAGACTTTCAGTAAAGACACACCCCCATTCTTTTACTGTCGATTTCATATTTGAATCTCACAAAGTTCAATCGTTGAAATAAATTCTAAATTTACAGAAACAGTATTCTAATGTGAATTGCATCCAAACTGCATACCTTATGATAACATTTAATGCTTCAAAATCAACAACGGCAGAATGTATCTCTCCTTTATTAAATATTATTTCTAATGAGTCAATTATACTGGATACCTAAAAGACAGAACCAAATATATACAAATCAAATAAAACAAAACTGTTTTGCTGGCATGTAGATGTAGAGAAGACGTAGAAAAACTGTACTCACCACTTTTCCAACAACTTCAGCGGGGAACGTCTGTTTGGATATTACCCAAAGTGCCCTGGTGCATACATTTTTGTCTGAATTCTTAACAATATTATTCAATTTTGAAAGCAATTCTTGAATATTTGCCTCTGAAAAGCAAGTAGTTTTAATTATAGGAACAGTATACAATCTTTTCTTCTGTGGTACTAGGAATTGAAACCAGCCTAGACTACCAAGTTACATCTGCAGCCCCAATCTTAAAATTTCAAATATAAAAGAAAAATACTCTTAAATCAAAAAAACTAAATACATATTCAGAGAAGGATCAAGGAACCACTACTGATATCAAACTTCCCAAACCCTAAATCCAGATCGAAGTTATCATATTCAGAGAAAACAAAGCACTGAACTCCAAAGCAGATAGTTCGCACAAAAATAACCACGGGTATCATTACTAGGTATATGCAATGTTTAGCAAGATATTATAACCTCACACTTCTGCTCCAAGATGAACAACTCATACTTTAGGGTGCTAACACTTCTATACACAAAAAAGAATAAGCACGGCTGTGTGTGGTGGCACTGGTCTATAATCCTGGCAATTTAGCAAGACTCTGTCTTCAAAGAGAAAATAAAAAGGGCTGGTGATGCTAGGTGTGGTGGCACATTCCTGTAATCCCAGCAGCTCGGGAGGCTGAGGCAAGAGGATCACAAGTTCAAAACTGGCCTCAGCAACTCAGGGAGGTCCTGTCTCCAATAAAATATAAAACGGGCTGGGGATGTGGCTCAGTGGTTAAGTGTCCCTAGGTTCAATCCCCAGTACAAAACAAAGCTGGAAGTAACCCCACTTCCTCAGAAAAACAAATGGTAACAACTTTCTGATCCTTATTACCTATTCCTAATTTCTTCTCTCTAAAGATCACTTCCTAGCTAGGAACATGCCTATATTCCCAGGGGCTTGGGAGGCCAAGACAGGAGGATCGCGGGTTCAAAGCCAACCTCAGCAATGGCAAGGCACTAAGTAACTTAGTGAGACCCTGTCTCTAAATAAAATACAATAGGGCTGGAGATGTGGCTCAGTGGTCTAGGAGTGGTCTGGTACCAAAAAAAAAAAAAAATCACTTCCCAGCTTTCCTCTAGGGTAGCAAACTACTTGATTAAAGAGCAACAGTTCAGGCTACTTGGAACTTGGAAAGCAGCAGGTTCTGGGTTTTCACTACCACTTTTAGTTCACAGTTATACTACATTTCGCACTAGTATGAAAGAAACTTCCAAGTAAACATGTTCCTTAGTGTATATACCTAAATAAAACAATCAGATAAGTTATTAACTTCCAAAGACAGCCATGTTTTATTAAAGTTTCTGTTTTTAGCCAAGCACAGTGGCACACACCTGTAATCCCAGCAGCTTGGAAACCTGAGGCTAGAGGGTCCCAAGTTCAAAGGCAACCTCAGCCAAAGCCAGGTGCTAACCAACTCCATGTGACCCTGTCTCTAAATAAAATACAAAATAGGGCTGGGGATGTGGTTCAGTGGTAGAGCCCGCCCCAGTTCAAACCCTGGTACCAAATTAAAAAAAAAAAAGGTTTTTACATCAATCATATTTATTCTGTGCTAGGGAACTGAACCCAGGACCCTGGCCAATTCAGAGTTGTACCCTCAGTATGCAATTATGTTTAAGCATCTTTATTTTCTACAGCAGATTTCAATCTATCAAATTTAGAACTATGTATAGGTGATGAAGAGATCCAAACATTTCTTAGAAGCAAATCCTAAACTACAAATTATGAAACTAACTCAGTGATAACAATACTTTTATAAAGTTACATTTAAAAATTAAAAAATATTAATAGTCATAATTATCTACCTGATAATCCTGAAGTAATTTTGGGATTATATAAGCAAAACCCCAAGGCCTGTAGAGCAGCACTACACAGTTCTGAGTTTTGACTGGAAATATGACTCTACCAAAAGAAAATCACATTTATCACAAATAAGTACAACTGTAAATAAATTTGTAGAAATCAAAAGTCAATAACAAAACAAGCAAGCTCATAACATTTTGATCTAATCAATCAACAAAATTCTCAGAGCAGGTAAGAACATATGATCAGAAAGTCAACTATAACCCAATTAGGTGGTGCATGCCCATAATCCAGTGGACTTAAGGCTAAGGCAGGAGGACCTCAAATGTAAGGCCAGCCTCAGTAACTTAGCAAGACCCTCAGCAACTGAGCATCTGTTCAGATAACAAATAAGGTTTATGATGTTCCTTAACTGTGTTGTCTTTTTTATTGATGTTTTGCAATTCTGAGGACTGAATCCAAAATTAACATGCTAGGCAAGCATTCTACCACTGAGTTATATCTCTAGCTCAATAAAGGTCTGCCTTATCTTCAAGAATGTTGAGTTCTTAAGACAAATCTAGCAGAATTCTGAACAAGAACACAAAACATTTTATCTATCTACTATGGTTCCTATTTTGAAGAAATTTAATTATTGTTTGGTTGCTTAACTTACATAGATACCTTCTACTAATTGTCCTAATCTTCCACTTGCTTCCAAATAATTCATTAGCAACTTTACATACAAACTCTACTTAAAAACAGTGCAACTTGACTCAAAATGCATACAACAGAGTCCGATTCCATGTTTTCAAAAATTAAACACATGAAGATGCATGTCTTCACATCAAATATACTGCTAGAATGTGAAATGTAATAATGAAGAAAAATGAAGTATCGAAGTTAATGTTACTTAATAAGACTATTTCCATGTTCGCTTTGGCAGCATACTAGTAAAAATTGGAACAAATCCAGGTATGCTAGCACATGCCCATAATCTCAGCCAATTGAGGCTGAGGCATACGATCACAAATTAGAGGCCTAGCCTCAGTAACTTTGTGACATTTTGTCACAAAATAAAAAGCAGAGTATAAATCAATGGTAGAACACCTATGGGTTCCATCCTCAATATACAAGAAAAAAAATTGGAACACAGAGAAGATCAGCTTGGTCCCTATGAATGGATGATAGTCAAATTCATGAAGAATTCCATATTTTTAAAAAATCCTTTAGAGAATTAAAAAAATAAGATAAAATAATACTGCTGAGGCTGATAGTGCATGCCTGTAATTCTAGCTACTCAGGAGGCTGAGGCAGGAGAATTCCAAATTGGAGGGGAGGCTCCACACCTGGCTAATTTTCTTATTTTTAAAATGAAACAGTTGCTGGGCTGGTGGCTGATAAGGAAAAGTCCATAATCTTAGTCACATGGGAGGCTGAGGCAGGAGGATGGAAAAGCTCATGAACAGCCTGGGCAAATTAGCAAGATCCTGTTTCAAAACAAAAAAATTAAAAGGACTAGGTACAGTGCTCAGCGGTACAGTGCCCCTGGGTTCCATTCCCAGTACTGGGAGTTGGAGGGGAAAGGGGATTAAAAAGTTAAATGCTAAGTAAGAAAGGAAAATCATGAAGCCTCCTAAGTAGTCCACGACAAAAACATAGTTTGACATTAAACTATGCCACCTCCCTGTAAACAAGCAAAAAAGAAAACTGCAACAGTTTCTAACATAGCAAAAATGGAGGGTGAGTGAAAATAAATTACAAATGCTATTCACAAAGTAGACCTGAGACAATTACTATTTTGGAATTCCTTACTTATAAATAAATTCCCAAAAGGAATGAAAAGAGATTAAATAATCTCGGATCACTGCTATGATCAGATAAGATTGATAATTCAGGCTGTGGGTTCAAGTGGCCATGGAAAACCTTAGACAAACTAATTTCTCCATCTGCAAAAGTGGAGATTATAGAGCAAACTAGAGGCTGAAGGTATAGTTGAATGAGAACTAGTAAGTTGAGGCCATGTTTGATCCTCAGAACTGCCAAAAAGAAAAAGGGAAAAGGTAAGCTCATCGAGGTATGAAGAATAATGTGAGAAAAAGCTTGTGAAAGATGTAAAGTAATGAGAAGCCAGGCAATCTGATGATAGCCTGTCTTCACACCTACTCAGGAGGCTGAGGCAGGAGGCCAACACTTCATATACAGTATATTTATCAACAAAAAGGTACATTAACCCAACCAACATCATTGCTTTTATTTTAGAAAAGTTCTTATGGGTCAGCTGGGTGGTTTTTAACACTCAAAACACTATTCAACAGTAGATACAGACCTTTAAAACTTTGTACAGCCGAGGAAGATTTTTCTCAATTTCTATGATGACTTCTTTTCCTTCTTCTCCAGTCATCCGACTTAAAAAGCAGATAGAACAAGAGATTAGGCAAAAGACAAAGTACTGGACACTAACTAACAATATCTCTATAAATGCTTAGAAATGAACTGGCCTAATTCTTATGATGCTTACGAATATATATACACTATATGATGCAACACACATCAGAAATAAGAGAGAACACACATCAGAATGACTTTTGCCTCCACAGTGTACCCAAGTTTTGACAGTTTCATCATGTGAAGACAGCAGCGTAATCCCTATCCCAGGTACAAATTTACCAATTTTATCAAATTCTTTACAAAGCTTTAGGCAATTCCTTTTGAAGAATTATGTAACTGAAACAAAAATCAGGCTAGTGGTCTATTAAAAAAAAAAAAAAATTCTGGGTCGTTATTTCGGGATACACCAGGAGTTCGCAGGGACTTTCGCACTGAAAACCACTCCTCCAACTACTTCCAGCAGAAACTTTAATCCTTTGCTTGCAAGACTCGCGTGCAGTCTCCTTCATTCCAAACAGCTTAAGCGCTGCAGCAGCCCCTGAAACGTCACTTGGCATATACGTCCCCCTCCACCCCACTCATCCCCGACTCCGGTGTCCTCCTATTTACGAGACTAAAAGAATTCACTCTTTCTACGAATCCCAAACAACCATCTTGAGTCCAACCTCCCCCGAAGCGCCTCCCACCCCAGCGGGCCTCACCTGGTCAAAGTTAGGTAGGCATCCGTCTGCTCGCCCAGGGAGGCGGAAGAGTCTTCCAGTGTCTCCAACAGCGGCGCGAGAGGGCTCGGACCTGGGGCCGTCATGTCGGCCACCCTAAGGCCGGGCCGGAAAAGAAGAAAAATGTAGTGACCAACGCAAAGAGCCTCACGGCGGCCCAGCGCGAATCCGGCGCTCACACCTTAACACTGGCTCCCGGACTCGCAGTTCCGCAGTGTCCACAGCGCCGGCCTCTAGAGCCCAAACCCAAGCCCTAACCTCCTCCTCCGCCCAGTAACACGCACTGCGGCCCACGCCGAGCTCGGGCCTGGGCCCGCTCCCGCCACCACTTTCCCGGGCAGCATTCAACGGAGGGAGGAGACCGCGCGGGGGGTTGGGGAGGGGCGGGAGAAGACCCGGGAGCGCGGCATCTCGCCGCGAGGGGGCAGAGGCTGCGCCAGGCCGAAGGTTTCCTTGACCTCCCACCGCGCCCGGGATACTTAGCCCTACGTACAATGTTCAGGACAGCGTCCTCTCCGCCACTGCGCCGCTGCACTTGCAGGCTGCCAAAGCCTGACTTTGGCGACTCGGGCAGTTTACTCACGCGTGCGACAAGCTCCCTCCTGGACCAAGATGGCGGCGGGGGCGGGCCCAGGAGCGCGCGGGAGTAGGACAGGCCTGGCGGGAGAGGTTCGAGCCAATCCAACAGGCAGCGGCGCGCCGGAGGCGTCGATCGCCTCCCTTCCTTGCTCAGTTCCCCCGCCCCGCCCATCCCCTCAGGTCACCTTCAGGTGGGGACATTTTATCCAAAGAAATGGACTTCATATTCAAAATGTAAATTTGGCCCAAATTTACCAGAGGAATTAGTGAGACTTCAGACCAAGTGCTCAAACTCCAAGTTTGAAGTATTAACGAGCAGATCACTTAGCAAAAGGGCATAATGCACTGTTAAATGTAAGATGAAGAGTTGCATCTCAAGCACGTCTTGGTTCAACCCCCGGTTGGGTTTGTCCTTAGGAATATAATTATCCTTTCTGTGCCTCAATTTCCTTCTCTGTAAAATAGGGCTAATAACAATAACTGGTGGAAGGTGTAGCGTGAGAAGCTAGGCCAACCGTCCTCAAGCTTTCAGTGAACATAACAATGGCCTGGAGGTAGGAGTTATTAAAGTGCAAATTTCGGGCCCTGACCTTCGACTTGATGATTCTATTGACTTAGGTAATTCCCAAAGATTTGCATTCTTCTGTTGGAGTAGGGGTTGGCCGGAGCTTCATACTTGGAGTGTAAATCCTTAAGTTGATCTTATTATTATTACTGTTTTGCTCCCCTTTTCCGTGTGCAGCTGAGCTTTCCCCACAGCCGGCAGGATTCAAATCGAGCACCGACGGCCCAGAGAGCAACACAATGTTTCCATTCTGGCATCACGTGTTCCTCCTGGCCTTGCTTCTGAGCCACCCCCACCCCCACCCAAGTACACACAATTCAACGATTATCTCTACAGCTCAAGGTTGCTTTTTGCTTTTCTGTTATTTGTGTTTAGCAAAATTTATGCCATACCAACCATTCAGTACATAATTTGTTTGTTAAGTGAAAAAATGAGGAGAGAGGGAGAGAAGGAAACATATAAGGCCTAGTGAGCGAAACTTTCAAATGAAAGGCTTAAAAATGGTGAACAAAGCTGGGCATGGAGGGGCACGCCTATAATCCCAGCCCTCAAGACGCTGAGGCAGGAGGATCCCAAGTTCAAAGCCAGCTTACAGAATTTAGAGAGCCCCTGTCTTAAAATTAAAAATTAAGAGGGCTGGAGATGTGGCTCAGAGGTTAAACATCCTTGGGTTCAATTCCCAGTACCAAAAAAAAAAAAAAAAGGTGAAATGGTGAATCTGAAATGAAAAGACGGGTGGAAGCTGGCTGAGAAAGCTTTGAGAAGCCATTATCCTTTAGAGGGAAATTTGCTCCTCCTTTTCTGGGCTTTGGTAAGAAAGGAATGTGTTTTAAAAGGAAAAGTTATTAGTGAAAATGAAAAGTATGGACAGGCCTGCAGTACTTAGACTTTAGTTAAAATGTAACTGTTGTGTCCATGATGACTTTGAGAATTGTGAAAAGAACCATTGAGTTTCTCATAAGAAAGGTATCTTTTCCCAATCATTATATTCCTTACTCTGCTTTATTCCTTGTAGCACTTATGACTAACTCATATTATGTATCTATCATTTATAGTCTGCCTCTCCTTGCTAGAATATAAATTCTACAAGAGTAGGGCTTGTACACTTCTTCCCCTTAAGTTTTTCATTTTTAAAGAAGGGGCTGTGACTTTTTCAAAAGTATAGTTTCTGGATCTGTTTAAAATGTTTTGTTTTTTAATCCTCACTCCTGTGCCAAAAATCCTCCAGCAATTTCCACCAATTATAGTATGGATCTCTAAAGCCTTGGCATAACATGCCAGACTATTATGATTGGGTCACTGCTCTCTTTCATCACCACACTTTTCCCCACATTGCTTAGCCACAGGTTTTGGATAGTCCACCAGATCTTTAAATTTTCTGATTTTGAATATTTCATGTGTTTTGAACATTCCTCTTTTCAAAAGTGAAGGGTCAATTAAAACCACTCCTTTGTATAAAATCTCTCCCTCACCTACTATCCCCTGATGGACATTCCTCCCATAGAAATTTAAATGCTCAGGTCTCATTCTATAGATCTGTTAAAATGAGTATCACATTAATTAATTATTGTTAGGTCATAGATTTTGGCAGTGGCTGCACCTCAGAGGGCTTAGTTCAACCTATAATCTCAAGGAATACCCTTCCCTGCTGTTTGGTCATTTTCTCAATCTGATCTAAATTGCTAAGAGTTTATTAAATCAAAACAAATCCCCTCCCCCACCTTCACCCTTCTCCACACATCCTTCCAACCTGATTGCTAGCTCCATGCTTCACTTTTATACAAATTACCATAGACTTCCACCAGGCCTCCTGGGTCAGGCCTTTAATCCCAACTACTCAGGAGGCTGAAGCAGAAAGATCACAAATTAAAATCCAGCCTGTGCAACTGAGATCCTGTCACAAAATAAAAAATAAAATGAGCTGAATATGTTGCTCAGTGGTAGAGCACCCTGGGGCTCAATTCCAAGTATTGAAGGGCAGGGGTGAGGATGTAGAGAAAAAGGAGAAGGGAGTCTTGTTTATTCCCCAGTCCTGGAGATTGACTACTAGAAGGCTCTATCGTTGAGCTATATCCCTAACCCTTTTAGTTTTTTTATTTTGACACAGTGTCTTACTAAATTGCTGAGGCTGACCTTGAATTTGCAATCCTTCTCCTGCAGCCTCCTGGGTTGATGGGATTAGACTCATGCATGGTGCCTGACTGAGAAAAAGGAATTACTGCAAACTATTGGTAGGCATGTAAATTAGTACACCATTATGGAGAAAAGTATAGCGGTTCCTCAAAAAGTTAAAAATAGAACTACCATATGGTCCTGCAATGACCACTTCCAAAGGAAATGAAATCAGTATGGCAAAAAGACATCTCCACTCTCATGCTTATTACAGTACTACACATAATAGCCACACACACAAATAAAATAAAATAAAAACTATTTGGCATAGTAATACAAAACAGTAATCCAAACTAATAGGGAGGCTGAGACAGGAGGATCATAAGTTAGAGGTTAGTCCTGCCAATTTAACCAGAACCTGTCTCAAATAAAAAAAAAAAAAAGAAAGAAAGAAAATACAAAGGGCTGGGGGTGTGGAATAAGTTTTCGTTCTTGTTTTTCAAATCTCTACTAAACATTCCAAAAAGAGAGAGAAAAGGAAAGGGAGTGGGAGCTTATCTTAGTGGTAGATCACTTGAATACACAGGCTAGAACTGCAAAAGAGGAAAAACAGAAACAGGTCTATTATACAGTGTGGCAAATATAATAATAGCTTATTGTTCACTTCAACTTTTCTAGGAGAATAAATTTCTTATCACAAAAAAATGATAAGTATTTGAGGTGATGGATATGTTCATTAGCTTGATTTTATGAATCCACATTCATAAATTGTAACATCACATTGTACCCAATAATATATACAATTGTAATTTGTCCATTTGCAATAAAATAAAAACGCAAATAGTACACAGCTGACAAATGCCACACTGCAGCAGTTTGAGAGAACTTTATTTCTTTGTTTGCTATGATTTATACATAATGGGAAAAATATCTTTTGAATCCCATAGTATGATGTAAATTTGTGTTCTATTTATCTTTTTCCTTCTTTTTTCTGTGGGCAAGGGTCGGGGGTGGGGAGGATTGAACTCAGGGGCACTTGGTCTCTGAGCCACATCCTTAGCCCTATTTTGTATCTTATTTAGAGACAGGGTTTCCCTGAGTTGCTTAGCGCCTTGCTTTTGCTGAGGTTGCTTTGAACTCATGATCCTCCTGCCTCAGCCTCCCAATTAGCTGGGATAATAGGCATGCACCACAGCACCCAACCCAAGAATGATTCTTTTTTTTTTTTTAATATTTTGGTTTTTGGTGGACACAACATCTTTATTTTATTTTTATGTGGTGCTGAGGATCGAACCCAGCGCCCCGCGCATGCCAAGCGAGTGCACTACCGCTTGAGCCGCATCCCCAGCCCCCAAGAATGATTCTTTACTCAATAAAATATTAAATAATAGGGCTGGGGCTGTAGCTCAGTTGGTAGAGTGCTTGCCTAGCACATGTGAGACACTGATTTTATCCTCAACACCACATAAAAATAAAATAAAGGTATTAAAAATATATTAAATAATAAATTTTAAAAGAAAGAAGAAGAAGAAGTGGAGTATGAGTTCTGAGAGACATTTGAAATGTTAGCTGCATAATAATAATTTTTACTGGCTTTTTAAAAGTTATATATTGAGGCCTTTTTAGTTTTTAGTTGTAACTGTTGTAAAATAACTGTGTTGCTGAAAGCATCCCCAGATAGACTTCTCAACAACTGATAATTTTTTTAAAAAAATATTTTTTAGTTATAGGTGGATAAAATGTCTTTATTTTATTTTTATGTAGTGCTGAGCATCGAACCCAGTGCCTCATGCATGCTAGGCAAGTGCTCTACCTCTGAACCACAACCCCACCCAGACCCTGATAATTTTTTTTTAAATTAAGATTATTTTATCGATGTCTTCACTATCTTCTATTTTATTGGAATATAGGTTTTCAAAATAATTTCTAATTGTCTTCTGTATTTCTGTAGCATCTGTTGTGATATTGCCTTTTTCATCCCGTATGTTAGTAATTTGAGTTCTCTCTCTTCTTCTCTTCGTTAGCATGGCTAAAGGTCTGTTGATCTTATTTATTTTTTCGATCTTATTTATTTTTTCGAAGAACCAACTTTTAGTTTTGTTAATTTTTTCAATAGTTTCTTTTGTTTCAATTTCATTGATTTCCGCTCTGATTTTAATTATTTCTTGCCTTCTGCTACATTTGCTGTTGTTTTGCTCTTCCTTTTCTAGGGCTTTGAGATGAAGTGTGAGCTCATTTATTTGTTGTTTTTTTCGTTTTTTGAGGAATGACCACCAGGCGATGAATTTTCCTCTTAAAACTGCTTTCATTGTGTCCCATAGATTCAGATATGTTGTGTCTGTATTTTCATTTATCTCTAAGAATTTTTTGATTTCCT